ACAAAAACAATCCAATCAAGAGATTAGGCAGCTAAAGAGAACTCCATCCAGTCAGTATGAGCCATTTTTACTAGAGTGTGTTCTGGTATAAGGGACTTTTAGAAGAGCCCCAAATTTCTTGACTTCCAGATCCACCAAAGTATGTAGGTTGTGAGTTGAATTCTTGCTTCGACAACTTCAGAATCCAAAGAGCATATCTGATACCACCATGCCTTAAAAGAATCAGTGCAGCTGTATAGACCATCCCACTGAAGAGGGCGTAACTTCCACACTGTGATTGATCTATTACAAGAGAAGAAAAGATGCTCAATTGATTCAGCAGCTTCCCCACAGATGGAACATGTAGTTTTCAAGTAAATTCCTCTCGTTTTCAGGTGAGTGGCCACCGGAAGGGAACCTGAAATGCACTTCCATATAAAATGTTTGATCTTTCCAGCAATTTTCAGTCTCCAGTGCCTATATGTGATGGATTTCTTGGAATCTGATGTAGAGCTGCATTCTGGGATATCTGTATAGTGGGTCTTAAGAGAGATTAGCAGCATTAATTAGCAAAATGAGACTTTTTTTAACTATTAAGAGTTCACCAAAAAAATTATTGAATCCATTTTTTTACTTCTTAACACAAATCTATTATTTACATTTATTTAATCATGCTTTTCAATTAATATCATTAAAGATTCAATTTTAGTGTTCAATACATTTACATTAACTATTACATATATCTTATTTTATTAAACTAATGAAAAAAATTAATATATTATGAAATCGGATGAATAATCGTGTGTGGCATGTGCATCTTCCTTATGCATCATGAAAGGAGAAAAACATCTCATTTTGGTGAAAATAGATTAAATGAAGAAATAAATGATACATGCACAAACTAGAATCTAATTTTCATTGTAAGTTGGGAAGTATGATATACCACCCAGAAAATAGTTCGACACTTCGGTCTGAGAGAGTAGCTCGGCTATGACCGAGCTAGGAGAACTCCCGTAAGATAAGAGAAAGGTGCTTGACCAAGTAGCTCGAACACGGGTTTAAGGTGTCGACCTCACACAACCAACCCCACCAGGAAGTACCGGCCTGTAGGAGCCCAGTAAAATTATCGACCTCGATGTATATCAAGGTCGGGTGGCCTGGGGATAAGAAGATCTAAAGATGAGGTTGGTTAGACCTAATGATGGTCTTGGACGTCCTCAGAATGGCCATAACAGGCAGGATGAGAGGTCGGACCTACGACCTATGTATTCCCAGCCTAAAATAGTAATTGGGGGGGGGAGGGGAGGGGGGAATCTAAGTAAGAAAGAAAGAGTTACTCGCTCGAGGACTCTTTCCACGATAGAGACGTGGTAAGTTAGGGAAGTAGAAACCAAATAGATCTTTAAGAACTCTCTTTGGTTCAAAGCCTCCAAAGTCATATATGGACGACATGTTTATTCATACTACACTGCAAAAAATTTTACGATTATTTCACATATTCTGTATTCACAATTGAGCGAGTTCTGACTTGAGCGTCAGAGTTTTCTGTCGGGACCTTTCTCCCGACGTATTGCAGGTTATTGGGAGATTGAGGAACAAACTCATTGAAGGTAGAAAGTGTTCAGTTCGATCACGACTGAAAAGTGACGTATCAAATTGGCACCGATTGTGAGGAACCCAGTCTCATTACTGGTCGAGACCTTTCTCCCGACGTAT